TATATAAAAGATAAATTAAGTGAGATTTGTGGTGGTTCGGGCACAGATGATATTCAAAATTCCATGGTGAGAGAAAAGTCGTTCGCGTTACACAGCGAAGAAGGTCACATTAGTATAAATATACATAATATAAGTATATATGAGTGAAATTATTATCCTATAACAGCCAAATCACACTAAAAAAATTTAAAATTTATAGTATAATTTAAAAAAGGTTTTTGTCGAAAACTCTCTATCACCTTGCTGAGCTGAAATATTTAAAATTTAAAAAGAGTTGAAAATTTAAAATTCGAAAATTAAATTAACAATTCAGATTTTCCGTTGGAGACTGATATTCTTTTTTAAATGTTCGTCTTTCAATGCTAAATAGGAATATCGTCTTCAAAATTAATTTCTAATGTTTAGTTTGATTTTAAACTAATTTTACTCGGAACCTGTACGTCAAAAACCGTGGTTTTCTGCAGTGTATCATGTAAACGGCGTGGAAGGGCTCATTTTCATTTAGTTGAGTGCAAGGGTGGTTTAAAGTGTTTGCAACATTTATTAAACGATAAAGCAATTCATTCGACTGAAACGTATTTCAACGCACCCGAGGTTCCAAGTGAAAAAATCTATGATGATAAAGTTTTATGTTCTGCCTATTGGTTCAACAAAAAATGGATTCCACCAGTAAATGAAGCTGCTGGAAATGGTGAACGATTGTGTAATACATATTGTGCTGAACATGTTGAGAGAGATAAAAACAAGAATGTAGTGAAAGGTTCGGCAAAAGGATTCTGTACACTAAATGCCTGGCACAGCGGTGATCATGTGTTTCAGTGTCAAGATATTCATTACGTATTAGAATTGTATCCAGGAATTGACGTTTGCTTTGTGATCGATACAACTGGATCTATGTCGCAGTATTTTGAAAAAGTAAAAAAGGCAATCATTCGTGTTATTGAAGACAACAAAATCTACCTTCAAAATTTAGGGAAAAATACGTCAGATTTTCGATTTGCTGTTGTTGGCTGTCGCGATCATGAACCGGAAGGTGATTACATAGTCACACTTGTGATTTTACTAGTGATGACGTGGCTGCTGCATACATGATGAGTCTAAAAAGTGGCTCGGGCGGTGCATATCCAGAAGCAGTGCTCGATGGTCTATATGCTGCATGCTCACTGGAGTGGCGTAATGGTGCTGATCATCTGTTGTTTCATATACTTGACGCTATCATAATCAACCTGAAGACAAATGGTCCGAAGGATGTCCCAGTAATAAAACTGCTCAAACTGTATTACAGTCGATGAAAAGTAAAATGATTCAATATCACGTTCTGCACTGCACAAATAGTTTGAATATGATGATTGCTGAATTCAAAAATCATATTGACGTCAAAATTTTGACGTTGAATGATAAGATCTCCTTTGAAGATGTTATATCTAGACAAGTGAAGCAACAGTTGACTGACTCGGAAATAACTTTGAAAAAGTTCTAGAGAGGTAAATATTGAATATATAGAACGCTTCCTCAATGACTATCTTAGATTTTATGTTCGTACTGGCTGTGTTGTAGAACATACAAAATACAACTTTGAGTCTGAACTGTGTTGCCAGACAAGCGACTCCGACAGCTTTGCACCCCGGAAGTATACTTTTTACTACAGTACCTTATACAGTAGTCTTTTTGCTATAGATTTAAAGTCGCAAATCATTAATAATTAGATCGGAAGCACCAGTTCTAAATGGAGCAGATCGATCAGTTTCGCTTTATGTTTTCCAGACGGTATAGAGAAAAAGAAAACAATGGAGATGGGAGACTCAAACCACCCATATCAAAATTTGATGATTTTTTCTGGAGAAGCGGTATTGAGATTTTTACATACTCGGAATCAGCGTGACCAGTTACGTTTCTTTCTTGTTCTTTAATGACCTCTTTTTCGTCATTGCTTGTCAGTACACATACATTGCATGTGCAGTCTTTCTCTTTCCATCCTTTATTTATGTACACTTACACGTTTATTATTGAACTCGTTCTGATAGATTCTTTAATCTTCCTTTTGTCACATATATAAGGTTTTCCGTTTTTTAAAAATATACGTTTTTAAAAATCATCATCGATTGTTGGTAGGCACAAGGCAATAGTTCTTCTTCCCTCTAACACATTTCTCTCGCAAAAAAAAAGAGGATGGCAAGTATTTTGTAAAAAAAAGTTTTAAAATAACAAGAAATCAACTTCTATAAAAGTGAAAGAAAATGTTCCACGATCAGAAGTCACTCGCGTAGATTTTCACAGTCATTTAAAACTAATATAAAATAGTCTGTGAACCAGAGATGAGCAAGTCAAGTCGCTTTTGATTTTGACTTGACTGATCTGAAGGAAAAAAATATGACGCATGATTTGACTTAAACCTTTTACTATCTCTCCTGTGAATTACAGTTTGACTGTGCTATGGTTTGATTTTATGTAATAGAGGGTAGACGTTTTTACTAAAATCGAAAATATTCATTCAAATTTTGTAATGTTAGGGGTAAAATACAGCCAGATTGAAGTAATGTATTTATATTTTCTTGAACTGTATAAAAAGTGAAAACCAGAATATTACCTACAGCGAGGATCTGAAGAGGTTAGAATTCTGTTCTATTTTATTTGTGTCTTTATTGCTTCAGAAGTAATGTATTCATCACAAAAACAGTGTCAAGCTAGAATTAATAATAATGAAATATGTAATCGTCCGCATTTTGCATTGTGTTTACATTGTCAAAATTTATTATGTCCTGAATGTTTGAATAACGTTAGTCATTAAAGCGAAGGAGAAAACAATGTTTTAAGCAATAGTTCAAATGAATTTGTACAAACAATTAATGAATCATTACATACACAAGAACCATCAACAATCGTGGACGTCATACATTCAAATACAATCAAAAAGTGCAAACAATTAGTTTTAGAAGGTATAAGACCATTAAACATAACTTTATCAGATGACAACAATTATATATTAATTGCAAATCGCGAAAAAATTTTCTTATTGCATTTTAAAGGTATGATGATAATGTGTCACAGAGTGTTTTGGCGAGGCATTTAGTTTTTAAAAGTGATTGTAAGCAACAGCTTTATAAAGCATACATTCAAAAACAGCCCAACCGAAAAACCAATAAAGAAAAGTTCTTACAGCAGCAGCCTGACTAGAGCTTTTATGATAAGCACACCAAAATTTCTTCTAGTCTCCGTGTCTAAGCCTGTTATGCTTATTTGTAAAACTTTTAGCGGGATGTGTAACACATATCAGGTGGTTTTGTAACAGATGTCTGCGTTTATTAGCAGGTATTTAGTTCTTTAAGGTGAAAAATCTTTTTTATTCCTAAAAGATATCTGAGAAGCCGAAATCGCCTTAAGAGACAAGTCGCGAGCAAATCAGACATGTTGTCGCCGAGCAGTCATACAATAAAAACGAACACATATTTTTTACGTTCTCATTCGATTCTATGTATTAACCTGTGGTTATGCAAAGTCTTTTAGACTTTCAAACCTCATATTGACTGAGTTATAACTTAAAACTTTTCAAATAAGGTACTTCGGTATTTGGTAAAAAGCGACTTCTCTAGTATTTTCGATTTTTTGAGGTCAACTTTTGTCCGTTCCATTCAAATAATATATCATTTCAAAGAGTAGATAAAATTGAACAAAATTAGGTAGTTTTCGATTTTTCAAACGTAAAGCTGTATTTTTAAAAAGTTGAGTAATTGAAAGAATAGATTCTTAAAAGTGAAATAAATTTTTCACTAAGCACAAATTTTCTCGGTCTAGCTTGAAGAACCTAAGAGAAGGTTGTCGCATCTTGTACAGTGAACATCGCTCTACAAAATAAGCTACAAAACTTTGTATCAAAACCTACAGAACATGGAAAAAATTGGATAACAAGCATGCAGACTGAGACGATTTTAGAACTCTGAAATCAGTTTTCAGACCCTAAAATCATTTTCAAGCAAAATGAATCTGATATTCGTAATGAGTATCGAAAATGGCATCAAATGATCTAGATGTCGAGTTAATTAGAGTGAAAATGTTTCACTAATATTCATTCAGTATCGTGAACAAATTTTTTTCCAAAAATGTTTTTCGATTAAATCAATAACTATATCTGTTATGTCAGTCGTCACTGACATTCTTTCCTCTTCCTCTTTTCTGTTCTGATAACAATTCATCTGTTTTCATTTCTCATGACCACGAAGAATGTTGACTCAGTTCTGGTTTAGTCAACATTCTTTCTTAATATATATATGCAGTGTTTGGTTGTACAGAGAAGAGAGTTTTTTGATTTTGACGTTTTGTGATTTTATTCTTACGAATAAAGTTTGTGCGGGCTAACAATATCATTTGATGCAGTTTTTGATACTGATGACGAATATCACATTCCTTTTACTTGAAAAATGATTTGAAAGTACTAAAACTAGTTTTAAGATCCAAAAACGCGCTTAGTCGGCATGTTTGTTTCTGAAATTTCTCCATACTCCTGAGGTTTTAAAGCAAAATTTTATAGTTTGTAGAAAAATGTTTGTTCTACAAGACGTGACAATCTTCCTTTGTGGATCCTTGATGTGAGCCAAGAAAATTGGATTTTAATAGAAAAGTTTCACTGTTAAAAACTGAAATTTTTCACGTATTTCGTTTTATCCGTTCTGTCAAATGAACTATTATTCGAATATAACGGACAAGAACTGACTTCAAAAAGTTAAAAATACTCTCCTAGTGGCTTTTTTACTGAAAACTGAAGTACCCTATTTTCAAAGTTTTATAACTCAGTCAATGTGAGGTTTGAAAATCTAAAAGACGTTTCATAATCACAGTTTAATACATAGAACCAAATGAGAACATAAAAGCAAAAATTGTCACCGGGTAGAAAGTTGCTGAAAACGAAAGCATATTCTCTCTGTACTGCAGATTGACACTTGGATGTTGTTTTTTTCAAATAGCGGCCTGGATTCGGCGCCATAAGCTCCATAGGAGGGCGGAGAAATGTGTTTTAGACATAGAAATTTTTCATATATTAGTTGATCGTCCAGCGCCATTTGTCTTTCTGAAAAGAAAAAGAATGTCTTCCTCTCAGCACGACTAGATAACTCTGCTACCGGAGTGAAATTCCGTGGCAAAATTTTGACATTCTGCTGTGTCTATATTATTTTAACGAAAGTATGTGTAGTGCTGTGGAACATCTAGAACGGTAAAGCAAACGTTTGTCTATAAAATGAGACTTCTCGGAGCTTTATACCTTTCTTTGTTTAAACAACAAACGATAAATACTCAATGCTATTTTCCCAAAATGAAGCATGAGAAAGGGGTTTTGTATTTTCCTCTTAGCTTTTAAACAAAGAAACGCACAGAGCCTCGAGACTCCTCATTTTGTAGACAAACGTTTGCTTTACCATTCTAGACGTTTCACAGCACTGCACATACTTTCGTTAAAATAGTATAAACACAGCAAAATGTCAAAATCTACACGAACAATCAAAAGAGCATAAATGTCTTTTCTTTACTTAGATGGTGGAAAGTCGAGTGAATTCATAATTGATACGTTTATACATGGTGTTATTTGTGATACATGTTGGGCACCATCACTTAGTGTATTTCTAATTTTATGTCGAGAATCATTATTTCAGTTTAGCTTAGTCACATGGGAATTACAAAAGATTACAGATATAAAATTGAATGATATTTACTTATTCTCATCTTTAAAATTACATACCAATGATTTGTATCATATGCATGGTATATGTGGATATATCGAACGACGTTCATTATTACCACCGTGGAATATTACAGAAAAATGGAAAATAAAAAATATAATTGAAGAAAACGATTATGGTATTCTGTGTATCCGCTCAAATACATATTGTATTGGAGCTGGTATACGAGGAGATTATCAACATGAATGCGGTCGAATCGATACATACGATAATAATATGATTCGTTTATGTCGTGGCTTAAATTTGACTATCACTAGTAATGTAATCAATATTATTTATCGACTAATCCCATTTGAAAATGACAAACGGCTATTCTGTGATTCATATACAAGAGCTACATGGTTGAATAAAAAAAATGAAATGAATAAATGTGTTAAATATTGATTAACAACATGCATAACTGCTGACAATAGGTATCTCATTGTTGGTAGAGATACACCAGATAGTTTATTGGAAATCTATGAACTTAAATAAAATTTTATATCAATATTAATAAATATTACAATACAAAAATTAATTTTTATATCAATATTAAATTGACACAGAATACGTAATGGAACCTGTTCTATTTTGTTCACTTCTAGCCCTATTATCTGGAGAGAAATTTTAGCAATCAGATAGAGCTCGTCAAACACTACCGAATGGACAATTTCGTTTTATAATTTGCTCTAGATCTTGCACAAATTTTCTAAAAATACTGTGCTACGGATTTTTATTAGGTGGTAATTATGGTCCTTCACCTGAAGAAATTTTTTTTTTGTCATCTCACGCACTATTTGCGCATAAAAAAATTATATATTTAGAATCTGCGTTCAATTCTGAACAAAATGGCTCATTCACTTCCCCAATAATTCGACTTTCATTTTTTGAAAGAT